TTTCAGAGAGGAATCCCCCATAAAATGGCCAACCTTTCCTCTGAATCTACACTCAGTGAAGATGATATATAAACCTATTATTATTATTATTATTATTATCATTATTTAGTGATCAGAAAAAAAAACAGAACAGTGATAAAAGAAACATCTTTTCCTTTATTAATAGAAAATAATAAGGCAATAGTACTATAAGTATATCAATATGTATTTGCAAGGAACAAGTATTTTGTGACAAGTCTTTAACCTTGCTTTTGATAACAAGTATAAATAAAAAATAACTTGAATCTAGGCTGACAATTAAACTGAATAAACAACAGTCAAACCTCTCATACGCAGACACCCTCGGCACCAGATAAGTCTCTGCTAATGGGTGGGGCAAAATTCAGTGTTTAGTTTAGCCGAGAACATGGCCAACTGTCCGCTTATGAGAGGTTTGACTGCATACTGAGTGTTCATAAAAATTCATAAAATTGTAAAAATGTGAACACAACTTTGACAGTTAGCCACTATTAAACCACTCTTACTCCTAAACTTTCATTTTTTGGTACATTTGTGCCTCTTTAAGTTTCTCTTTTCTGCAAGCTTCACATTTAAAACATTGGAGATGAAACTTGTTCTTGTGCCTTTCAAGCTTTTTCTTGTGGTTAAAAAGTTTCCCACACCTAGGAATGTTACATTTACATTTCTGGCAGTCTTAAAGTCTTTACTTCTCTTTAAGACTGTTTTGCATGTGGGGCATTTCATGTCCTCCAGTACACCAGTATCTAGGTCTTCCCTGTGTCTCTGCACTTTTTCCTTCCAGTTCTGTTTTAAGAAAGGCCAATGTAAATGCATATGCATTGTGTTTGCAATATGTGTCTTTACTGATGTGTTGCTGCAACTCTTTTTACAATGGCAATTGACAATTTACTCAATCTTCTCCAATAGTTGTTTAACATTTTTTATACAGAAATACACAACGACTATAGATAATGTGAGGCAAATGTTATATTTAGCAAAAAACATATCTCAACGAAAAAAGTCCAGCCTATTTTTTCTTCCCTATTTTTAGGAAGTAAAATATTTTATGGTCACTCAAGTTGGGAAGCCACCTAGCTTTATTATATTAAAATGGAGGAGTCGGTAAGTGAATAAAACTGACGTCTTTGTTTACCATTCTTCTGTCACTTGGAAGAGTCCTCCACATTTTGGATGCCACTTTTGATACCTGGCCAATATATATACCTTTGATACCTGGCCAATACCGCGTTCAGCTGCTCTTTTACTTCTGACTGGAAAATATGGATTGAAATTCTTTAATATTTCCCTAAGGGTGGATTTGCTTTTCAGCATTTGCGTACAGCAGTTGCATTCGCTCGTACAAAAGAAAGATAAAGCTAAGCTCTAAATAAATGACATGGCTGCGGTTGCTTTATTCTACATGGCTGGCTGTTCATGTCTAAAAATTATGCACGCAAATTAATTCATAACAAGAAGTTGTAACAAATACTTACGGCAACCGACTGATAGAAAGGCCTGAGGCCTTCTTAATTGACTTACGTTGTACCTTTTCAGCGCCCACTTCTCCACCGATCCTCTCCTCCTTCACGTGTACTTCGTCCGCCATTTTGAACAGGGTGAAATGTGATTACCCAAAAAGCAAATTGGGCAAAATATCCCGTTTTTGCGTTTCTCCCATCGTCCCTCTAGAGCAGCATTGGAAACGACCGTTATAAAAGACATCGACCGTTAGTTGGAATGACATCGACCGTTTACGATCTGGAAATTTGCGTCGCCGAAAACCATTTTTTGCTACGTATCAAAACGCCTAAATTCTGGTGAAGTGAAAGCAGAGACTTTGGAACGACCGTTAAATAGTTTTCTTATGCATCCGCACGTGGAGTTTGTAATAATGGAAGCAGTACTTGACTACCCCATTGGAAATTTGACAAGTCGGAGGAAGCCTTTTGGTAGGTTAACAGAGGAACTAAAAAATGCTTCGTACCTGAGATATTTAACAAGAGATGCAATAATTCAGTCTACTTTCTCGCACCAAGCACTTTTGCTCGATTCCCTAACTCAGCGTATGGTCTCTGTCTGATCACAATGGACACTATCAGCTCACCTATCTCACCCTCTCTTTTCTATAGTTTTGCTAGGTCTCCTATGATATGGCTTATGATTTACATCCGTAAGGCTCCAAAGAGACTACTTAATCAGTAAGTTTCCACCTTGTCGCTCATCGAGGCCAGATGATTATGGCATCAGCGCATCGGGTAAAAGCTGTTTGATAAAGCCTATGGACATGGGACACCAACATGACCAGTGTTTTCGACCAATGGGCATCAATTTGTTTTCTCGCTCTTCATAGTTTCCTTTTCACGCACAGTGATGCTGAGAAATGAGATCACCTTCGGTTACATTATGGTTAAACTCATGGATACGCTTTTAAAAAGAAGAAAAAAAACTAAACTTCGAAGGTAAAGTTGAAGTCGTTGTAAAGGCTACATTTGCAAGGTTGCTAAGAAGGTGAATAGGTGTCTGGAGATCTTTTTTGTGCGAATGTCTATCTCTGTGTTATACGAAACGTTCCGCAGAATGAGAAAAAGATAAAAATGATATTCTCCCAATGCTTGCTACGTGGCGTGCCACAGGGAGACCGCGTCTAGAACCAGATCAAGTTTTGTCTTTATCATGGTACTTATGGTAATTAGACACGTGCTTGTGCCTGTCCCTGTTGGTTTTGTTTCCATGGAATTCAGTCCGGCAACATTACTAACTTTTGCAGTTAGAGAACTTAAGGGTTAACAAATGAATAACGCTCTGCCTAAAATTCTTTTGAATTTCACGCATCACGAATCTAAGAAAGGGAAAACTTCAATCTCTTCTCCTGTTATCAAGTTTTCGGGTAAATCTAAAACATCTAGAACAAACTCTAGACATTTTCGCGTTTTTTTTTTCGCGTTTCATGCCTGATAACAAATCAGCCTTTCGGGATTTAGAATTCGTTACCCAGGCAACTTTTGAGCTCTCAGCTAACGAGCTCCCAGCTTTACTCATATACTACCTGTTGTATTCATCTTCGCATTCATCTCATGTTAAGAATTTATTCCCTTTTCTCAGTTTCTAAGACCTCGTCGTTTATGTGGTGATGACTCTAACTTTTTCCACAAATCTGAGTCAATGTGCCAGTTTTTCGAAAAACGTGGTTGCTCTGTTTCTGCCGTTCAAGCGGGTCACCACCGCGACCAACTTATTGATGGACAGTCAGCACTACAAACGTCACAGAAGGAAAATTCCGACCGCATTCCATTCACTCTCACATGTCACCCTCACAACCACTCAGTTAAATCCATTACCCTTAAAAACCTTCAATCACTTCAAAACGATCCAGAAACTGGCAACCACCACAACTTTTCGCAACCACCACTCTTTTCATTCCAATGCGACAAAAACATAGGCAATATTTGATCAGAAGTTCATTCCAAACTAATGACCAACCCGGCACTTTTAAATGAACTCGCGCACAATGCAAAACTTGTCCTTTCATTCACAACGCTGAGAAAATATCGGGACCCAAACGATCCAATAAGATCACTGATCACTTCACGTGCACCTCCGCCAACGTCATCTATTGGATAACTTGCAATTATGCAAAAAGATATACATCGACGAAACAGGAAGACGACTAGGTGACCGATTCCGAGAACTCCTTCGCGACGTAGAAAGGATTAACAAGGACGCATCCATACCAGTCGCTAGACGCTATAATTTACCTAATCATTCTCTTGCGTTACCGAAATCGCAACGGACTGGACGCTAATTTACGCCCATTGAGCTCACGTGATTTACATGTAACACGTTTTTCTTGTCGTCTTGACATTTCGCATTACATGGTTTACTAAGGTGTTCTGATTGAGGGCCTTTTTTCCAACTGGAAGTGTGTATATTTCTGACTTTCAATCTATGTACCTGACAAGGTTGGACAAATGTAAGTACTTTTGATTTCGTTACCCCTTTTTTTGTTTTTTTTTGGCACAAAGAGATTTGTTTCTGATATTCTTTAAATTTGCAATTGCAGCTTCAGATTATCGTCTTATTGTTTTCAATAAAATACAGAAAATCCAAGTCTTGTCGACTATTGCTCCATGACCCATCAGTCCACATTCTAAGCATCATATGGCAATTTCCGGTGTTTCCTTAGCTCGGAAAGCCGCAAAACTCTTGAACAAATGTTTATCTTTCAAATCGGCACTCTTAATCCCATAGGTATCAACGAATGCTTTTCATTCTACTAATTTATTCGTGTTTTTCTCGTCGCCATGTTCCCACCAATAGCGTAGCTCCACTTTCTGCATGTAAACCAATACACAACCCACAATTCCTCCATTTGCTCTGACGAAGGGCTAGCGGTCGAAGCGTCAGCTATTGAACTCGTTATGGTCGCCAATTTACAATTTCAACTTATTTCATATATATATCTTATTAACCAAGCGCGAGGGCCTTACACAAAGGTACCAAGGATACTTACAGGATTCAATGCTTCAGCACACAGAAAAATGCCACACCACCTAGATGTGAAGACACCAGTGTTTTCCAAAAAAATTTAAATCGGAAAGGATGAAAATGATTGAATTTTCGATGAACAGTCAATGCGTCTGCTGCCCCAATCAGTGACTTTATGTTCAGCTATAAAGAACAGCCACAACTACACCATCTCCAACATATTTATCAGGTGTGAATATCCCTGAATCCCAGTTCAACACTTTGGCACCAAACTAAAAGGTCACTGGGCGCATAAAGACGAACTCACGGACAAACATGGTGGCAGACGTTTGTTACTCCTCCGTGCAAGACTGAACGTTGCAATAAGACCTTCATCATGAGTGTAGCGTATAGATTGTAAATATTCCATACTTTTTAATTTTACTTCTACTTTTATTATTTATTTCCTATATAACTACTTTCTATATATATATATATATATATCTATAGATATTTGTATATTTTATTGTTGATCT